GTTAAAGGGGAGGGTTGCACCACTGGAAGAATGTCTATGGGCCACCGCATTGAAGAGCCAGAAACCAAACCCCTGGTGCAGTAATTTAAGTTCATATTAATTCTGGTTGATTACCTTTCCATACTCAGGCTCCTTGGAGAAAGCCGGACGCAGACCGCTGTAGAGCAGCAGTATTACTCTAGTGTGAGCTGGTGCCAGCCTGTGAATCAAAGGCTGCCATTCGCATTCACTGAGAAGAGTTCATTTGCCGACCAGTTAACAGTGGCGCCGCTTCCCAAAATAGCTTCACTGGGTGACTATGGCCACTCGTCAGGATTTCGTAATAATCATCTAGTGCCTCGTTGATCGACCGTTTCTGGTTCATTACTGGCCTTCCCGGCTACCGTAGCGCCTAAAATAGAACAACTCCAGTATTGGACCGTGTCACGCAATCACCTCCTTTGATTGCTATCGATTCCTGAAACAAGGCCAAAAGAGAGAATTTTAGGCAACAGATGGCAAAGGCGCAAAGCCGTAGAAAAATCTACTGATCTGTTGCTTATGCGTTTATAAGAATGGCGATAATGCATACCGCCAGAATATAGTAGTGGTTTTTCATGAGAACAAATCAATACTGTGGGATTTCAATTCCTCTTTGGTGAACGTTTCCTGAGTCCATCTCTGGAACTGTTCAAACGCTAGTAAAAGACCTGATCACCTTGCTTTGTCACCCTTGTATGCCATTAACTTACGCAGTAATAGATCAACGTGTTCTGTCTTTCATGATACCCATGATTTTGCAGATGTACACGAAGCTACCGCAGTCAACGCCACTATGAAATGCCACTAGAGTCGATTACAAGAAATAAGCTTTGAATTCTAACAGGCTTATTAATACGCATATATTGGGTATAATGATAAGAATATACGTCATGAAAATAATTCATGACATAATTCTGAATCTCGGTTTCCTTGTAGCTGAATGAAAATCATCCAGTTTCTAATTATTCTGACCTGAGTATAAAGATTGCTAAAATTGCCCATGAGAATCGTAAATACGCCACTTTTAATACTTTAAAAATTTTGGAGCAGTTGCAACATTTTTCGGATAATTATCAACTATACAGTAAAATTGGCAAAATTAAGTTTTACTCATATTTTTACAGTAAAAATTTATTTGTCGTTTATATTAACTTTTGCAGAATGTTGGTGGCAACTATTTGCTATTTTCTTATGCAACTGGCGGTGTCAGTGGCTGGAGGATTCTACAAACTGACCGATGAATCGTTGCTGAATGAACTTCAGGGATCGAACGTGACGTTGTCCCAGCATCACGTCTGCCAGCACAGTCAGAATCATTTGCTCTACTTTGCACTCGTGGGCGTCGATCAGCCAAATTTCTCTGGCTTTCACTACACGCTACTACTCGGAAGTTACGTCATTGACTTTGACCTTGGATCCAACACCAGCCACATAACGAAATACTCAGCAATGGACTACGACGAGAACAGCGACCATGTGATGTTCACAATCGATGACATCGTCTATTTGGTCAGCTACAAGCAGTACAGAAAATGTTCAGTAAAAAATGTCTATAAATGGGAGAACAGCACATGGAAGCTTGCGAGATATAAGTTAAGT